TGATCGACGGGGGTAGCACCCACAATTTCGTGCACCCCCGGGCAGTGGAGAAGTTGGGGCTGGGCGTTGAAGCAGTCACAGCCTTCCGAGTTTACGTGGGGAACGGGGATTCCTTATGTTGTACTCAACAGTGCCGTGGGGTCTCCTTGGAGTTGCAGGGCACTGCCTTCAATGTGGATCTCTATGTTTTACAAATCCATGGGCATGACGTGGTGTTAGGCGTGCAATGGCTTCGGATGTTGGGCGGCGTGCTACATGACTACGACAAGGTGACTATGGAATTCTCATGGGGAAATCAAACGGTGACGCTGCGTGGGGACACACCCAGAGCCAAGGCCACGTCCCTGTATCACCTACGGGCCTTGCATGCGAAGCATGAGGTTGACGCCGGGGTGATTCTATTGCCAGTACCGGAAGGGACAGTAAATGAAGGAGAACCCGCCCAAAGCCACGGCCAGCTGCCAAGGGAGATGACGGACCTCCTGGAGAAGTATGCAGAGGTTTTCCAAGAACCCCAGGGCCTTCCACCACATCGCATCGCCGACCACCGCATCTTTTTGCAGCCCGGGGTGGCGCCGGTGAACGTGCGGTCCTACCGATACCCGCATTTCCAGAAGGCCGAGATTGAAAGACAAGTGAAGCAGATGCTCGACCAAGGGCTCATTCGGCCCAGCAGGAGTCCTTTTTCTTCACCTGTTCTGTTAGTACGAAAGAAAGACGGAACCTACCGTTTTTGTGTGGATTACCGCGCCCTAAACACGGTGACAGTACCGGACCACTTTCCAATTCCAACAGCCGATGAACTCTTCGATGAGCTGGGGAAGGCACGGGTATTCTCGAAACTGGATTTGCGGTCAGGATACCACCAAATCCAGATGAATGACCGAGATATACACAAAACGGCATTTAAAACACATGACGGCCACTATGAATTTTTGGTCATGCCGTTTGGGCTTACGAACGCTCCCTCCACTTTTCAAGCTTGCATGAATCAATTATTTGCCCCGTACCTTCGTCGCTTCTTGATTGTGTTCTTCGACGACATATTGGTCTACATCCCTACTTTGGAGGAACACTACGGCCATTTGGAACAGGTTTTCTCTCTCCTCCAGCGCAGCCATTTTTACGTCAAGCGTTCGAAGTGTACATTCGGGACAACGCAGGTGGAATATTTGGGGCACATCGTGACGCAAGGGGTCTTGAAGGCGGATGAAGCCAAAATCACGGCCATGGAGCAGTGGCCACGACCCTCTACCCTGCGCCAGCTTAGGGGGTTCCTCGGGCTTACAGGATCTTATCGGCGATTTGTCAAGCACTACGCCCAGATTGCAAGTCCCCTGACCGACCTATTGAAAAAAGATGCGCTCAAGTGGACAGAGAAGGCCGAGCAAGCATACCAAAACTTGAAACAAGCGATGACGACGGCTCCCGTACTACGACTTCCGGACTTCACGGAACAATTTGTGGTAGAGACTGATGCGTCGAGGATGTGTGTGGGGGCGGTCCTTCTTCAAGGGGAGCAGCCCATAGCGTATTTCAGCAAAAAATTGAACCCCCGACGACTCACGGCTTCGACGTATCACAAAGAGCTATTTGCAATCGTGGAGGCGGTCCAACGGTGGCGACAGTACCTCCCCTGGGCAGGGAATTTTTGATCCGGACGGACCACCAAAGTCTACGCGAGTTACTTCAACAAGTGGTGCAAACCCCGGATCAACATTTTTATGTGCGAAAATTATTAGGGTATCGGTTCAAGATAGAGTATAAACCGGGAGCATCCAACCTGGTGGCAGACGCTCTATCCCGCCGGGACGAACCAAGCTTAGAAGCACATCAACTCCTCACACTGACGACACCAGTTCCGGCACTCCTTGAGGAGCTTCGTAAGGAAAATCGAACCCAGGCCGACCTCGCTGCCAAACACACCGAACATGGGTAGGGGCGGCTAGCCGAACCCTTTGAGGTGGTGGACGGCCTGCTGTATTACAGACGTCGGTTGTGTATTGGGTCGGCGTCCCCGTTTCGAAGGCAGCTCCTGCAAGAGCATCATGACACACCACTCGCGGGACACCCGGGGGTACACCGCACCTTCCTTCGCCTTGCTCAGAGTTTTTACTAGCCGCGGATGAGAGCCGACGTCAAGGAGTACGTCCAGCAGTGCCACACCTGCCAGACAACCAAGTACTCGACTCAGCCTCCAGCCGGATTGTTGCAACCGTTGCCGGTCCCGACGCAGGTATGGGAGGATATTTCTATGGATTTCATCGTGGGCCTACCCGCCTCCAGGGGTATACGGTAATAATGGTGGTCGTAGACCGTTTGACGAAAGTCATACATTTGGGGGCGTCGCCAACCGGGTTCGACGCACACCGTACGGCCCATCTATTCATTGACATTGTGGTTAAACTTCATGGATTCCCAAAAACAATTGTGTCGGATCGGGACCGCATTTTCCTCAGTAACTTTTGGCAAGAGGCGCTAAAAGCCAGCGGCACCACGCTGGCCATGAGCACGGCATTCCACCCACAAACCGATGGACAGACGGAGGTGATGAACCGGGCGGTGGAGCAATACTTACGGGCATTCACGCAAGATAAGCCAACGCGTTGGACGGTCATGTTACCTTGGGCCGAGTATGCCCTTAACACCAGCGTCCATACCGGGTTACGGATGACACCATTTGAAGCGCTGTATGGGCGACCTCCACCGACCTTCCTGCCATACCGTCCAGGGAGTAGCAAGGTACCGGAGGTCGACAATTTTCTGGGTGAGAGAGACGCCCTCCTTCGTAGGTTGCGGGAGCACCTCAAGGAGGCACAACAATGGATGGTAATGGCGGCCAACAAACACCGGCGGGATGTCCAATTCAATGAAGGGGATTTGGTGTTACTAAAATTACAACCTTATCGGCAGCATTCGGTGGTTCGTCGGAGTTTACAAAAGCTCGCCCGGAGTATCTACAGACCATTTCGGGTGTTATCGCGGGTTGGGGAGGCCGCGTATAAACTGGAGCTACCGGAGGGGTCCCGAATTCACCCTGTGTTCCACGTGTCTCTGCTACGGCCATACTATGGGGAGTCCACGGCGGGGGAGCAACTTACACTGCCAGAGGAGTTCGTGCATGGCCAGCCCGTATCGGAACCGGTGCGCATTCTCGCCGTACGACAGGTACTGGTGCGAGGGCAGCCGGTTCAGCAGTGCCTAGTCGAGTGGTCCGATGGGGGACGCGACGATGCCACCTGGGAGCCGTACGACCGATTTCAGCAGCACTTTCCGACGCTACACCTTGAGGACAAGGTGCTTTCTCAAGCGGTGGAGAATGTTACGAATGGGCCTCGGGCCGTGCATGGGGGTGAGCAAGGCCGCTCCATCGAAGCTAGGGTTACGAGTCCAGGGGAACGCGGGCAACGTCGAGAGCAGCGGAAGAAGAAAGCACCGGGGTGGCATGGGGACTACGTTCTTCAGTAATAATATATCAATAATAGTTATTTATTTACGTGTAATAGATTTTCGTAGGTGAGCGGTTTATAAGCTCCTTCAAGGGTTTTCTTTTCGGTTCTTTCCCTTGACGCTTTTTTTGAACCGACAGGTTAGAATTGGATTAGGGTTTCCCTCTACCACCTATAAATAGAGGATGTATTTTACCAAAGCATCATTGAAGAATAATAAACCCTAAATTCCTTTGGAGTACGAAGGCACTCGAAGACCTTCTCTTTCCGTATCATAGCACGTGACAAGTGCTCAACAAATTTTTGGCCCTACACACCCCACTAAATCGATAACATTTTCTGTTTCTTTTTTCCATCCTCTTCTCTTAAAGTATTTTTAAAGTTAATATTGCATGTTGAAAAACAGAATATATTTTACGTGTATACTTGGGCAGTAACAGTTTTTTTAAATTTAATGTGTATGATAAAGTATCATACTCTGATTTAAATTTAAAATTGATAGATTTATAAATTTAGTTTCAAGATTTCATATTCATGTATTGCATTTGTATATTTCTATATTTAATTTGAGATATTAATGGTTATAATATAACTTTAATTTGTCGTAGAATTAAAGTCTAACTTTGGGCATAACACATTATTAGAAAGTGTAGTTAAGTATTGTGAACTATAACACACTGCCCAAATTATGGCATAACACACTACAAGAAAGTGTAGGTATAACATGATCATTCCACACTGCCAAAAAAGTTGGTGTACACTTCCAATTTCATTTATTGAATGTGTTTAAGCGGTGACGAGCGACATAACGGTTCTAAGTGCTACGTACAAGGAAAATAACCTTCTAAAATTATGGATCTCAATAAATATGATAAATATGAGGTGGATCTCTTCCAATCACCCTACGTGCATTGCCAAAAAGTATAGTAAACGCACATGTACAGTGCCACATGATCATAGTGCGAACTCCTATTTAGAGAATAAAAATATGGAAATCCTATTTTGATACTTTCTCTAATTTTTATTTCTAATTATGGTGATTAAAATTGAAGAGTTTAAAGAACCAAAAACAACAATCATTTGTAGTCCCCCAATATTTTGCTTTCGTCCTAGAATTAAAGTCTATTTTGACCTTTATATGTCAAACAATGATATTCTTTAATTAGAAATTATAGGAAAATATTTAGTTATTATGAAATTTTAGTATATTTAGGTTCATTTTAAGATCTACTTTTGATATTTTGAAATTTTTATAATGTTATTTATTTAAAACTACATTCAACAAATTGTCAAAGAGTGTTACGATTTACCAAAAAAATGAAAATAGACTTTAATTCTACGACAAAGTTTTATTATAACCATAAATATCTCAAATTATTAGATATAGATATATACAAATGCAATACACGAATATGAGATCTTGAAACTAAATTTATAAATCTATCAACTTCAAATATGTTACTACCCAAGAATATACGAAATAAAATATGATATTCTATTCTTTTACATGCAATATTAACTTTAAAAATAAATTAAGAGAAGAGGATGGAAAAATGAAACAAAAAATAGTATTGATTTGCTGAAGTGTGCCAGGCCAAAAATTTGTTGAGTACATGTCAAGTACTAAAAAACGAGAGATCTATTATTTATTAGTAGTAATAATCATGAGATAAAAGTTTATAAAATCAAAGATTAACTCTTTTTGCAAGTTAATTCTAAGTGTTAAATGATGAAGAAATTTGAGCCTTTGATTTAGTGGAGATGGAGGGTAGAGATTAAGGGTCTGTTTGGGAATAGCGTTAGAGATTAGCGTTAACGTTTTGGATAAAATTTTAACAATGCAAATTACTTTGAAAACGCTAACGTTAAACGCTGTCCATAAATAGACTTTTCAAAACTTTAACGCTAATCGCTAAAAGTGGCTTGGGACTCAATTGGAGTGGCTGTGGAACGGCACTTATAAAACTTAAACCGTCCCTACCGTACACTTCTATTGGCCCGAAAATAAGGATTGCATTAGTTGAGCTGTTCTGAGATTCACCGATGAGAATATGGAGCATTCTGCTTCATGGATCCAAACCCTATCATTCTCCTTCCTATTAATTGCTTCCATTCATCTTTTCCACGTCCTGATAATATCCCCAAAACTCACACTCAATCACCAACATGTCAGAGTCAAGAAGCTACCGCCGCTTCCCCTGCGATTCAACTCTGATGGAAATTTCAAAATCCTTCAGGTATCTTATACTGTTTCGGTCCACATGATCTCAGGATCGATTCATCCTTTTTTTTTCATCAAAATTTTGTAGAATTTTGGGGGGGTTTTTTTTCCAGGTAGCTGACATGCATTTTGGGAATGGTATGGGAACTCGATGCAGAGATGTGCTGGACAGTGAATTCGATTACTGCTCCGATCTCAACACAACTCAGTTCCTTGAAAAGATGATTCAACTCGAGAGGCCTGATTTCGTTGTTTTTACTGGTATTCTATTGTTTACGCAGTCATATAGGGTTCATACGATTATGCATGACTGATTGGTGAATTAGAGAGCATCATTTCACTTTCATCAATTAAGGAATCTTTATGTCTTTTATCCCAGCGTTTGACCACCTGTGGGGGAAGGGCCTGGAACACCTTACTTGTTTATTGTAAAAAAAAAGTAAAAATTACAAAAAATGAGGTCACTCGTAGGCAAGTAGCAGATGTGAATGGTTTTCTAAGATATCTAAAAAATCATAATGTTAACAATGGGTAGCATCGATGTAATTGTGCCTTAGGAAAGAATCTTAGGTCACTCATAGACGAGTAGATAATTAAGGAAAAGAGGTGGTACTCTGGGGAAATTAGAGATAGCTAGGTGCAGAAAATGTCTGTTACTCGTATGTATTATCAATTTGCTCTTGGCTTTGTGGAATTCCAATTTGTTATCATTATATGGCATCCAACTACTTCATGACTTCTTGCAAGAAAGACAGCAAACGTTGAGAATTCCAATACTATCCTGGAAAACACCAACTTCCTGCACCCAGAAAGAATCAGAGTTCTTTTATTTTCAGCATCCAAAAGGCATTCTAATTACAAAAATATTGTCTTGAAACTTTGAAAGAGACTGTACTTAATATCTCTTTCACTTTTATGTACTTATTTGATTATTTCTTTACTTTTGTTGTTGCTAGGAGATACCATAAGTGATCTTTTAGGTAGCGGATGATAATAGTAGGCAAGTAGCAGATGTGAATGGTTTTTCATTAAATAAAACTAATTTGTTCAAAGCTTTGGTAGATCATATTGGATGTAAAGATGAATGATGTCATAATGGCATTTCTGTTGGTTGTCTAATAATTTATAATTATATCACATGACATGTACATTATGTTTAGGGATCACAGTTTTGAAAATATGAAAGTCAACGAGATGTAATTTGAGCACATGCAGCTGTTTCTTGAAGAAAATATTGGCAAGTAAACTATACTTATCTTACTTACTGATGTTTCCCCTCCACCACTAGAAATTTGGTACTGTGTACTCTAGTACTTTTTCCATTCAGTTTGATATAACAAGTACTTTTCATAAGTTCATACTTTTAATAATGGGTTTCCTTCACTTCGTTTTCTCACTGGGTTCAAGTCAACAATATAGTCTGTATTTACATCATGTGTTATGTTGCTTCTTCTAAATTTCTTTTTAGTATTTACCAAAGTGGCCATTCTCTTTTTTTGGCATATAGGAGATAATATATTTGGAAAAAGTGCTACAGATGCAGCTGAATCTCTATTCAGAGCTTTTGCGCCTGTTATAAACTCTCGTATTCCATGGGCTGCAGTTTTAGGGAACCACGATCAGGAATCAACAATGAATCGTGAAGAACTGATGTCTTTCATCTCCCTAATGGATTATTCTCTGTCACAGACTTTTCCTACAGCTAAATATGCTTATGGTGCAGGCAATCAAGATTGTCATCCACATATTGATGGGTTTGGGAATTATAATCTGAGAGTACAGGGTGCTCCAGGCTCAGAGTATGCAAATAGCACTGTCCTTAATCTCAACTTTCTTGACAGTGGGGACAGAGCTGTAGTCCATGGAATTCAAACTTATGGATGGATTAAAGAGTCACAGCTTCGTTGGCTTCACGGAATTTCTAAAGAGTTTCAGGTATTGCAACTCCTACTTCCCTAAGCATGTATTACATCCTTTTTTGTTGGTATCCCATACCATCTTCTGCACCTTCATATGCATAGTACATATGGATGTCAACATACAGGAGAAATGGAATGTGTTCCCACTATCAAATACAGATTATTATGTTACCATAAAAGGTGTTTCTTTAGCAATACTAAGAAGTAGTCTCAAAGTGAATCAATAATCAGACGTGGAAATAGATCAATGTCAATAAACAGACTCATCCTAACAAATGTTAACCCTACAAATGGGCAGTTTTACCAGATATACCACTAAATGTTTCCTTGTTTGATAATTTTATGAACACATAGTAAAATATAGAAACGACAAATGAGTATTGCAATACGCATGTATGCCGACATACTAGAGGATGTAATGAGAAGTGCCTTAGCATAAGTGGTTAAACTTTTATCATGACTTTACTACTTTAGAAACTGAATTTCTTTGCGCAAAAGAACCATATAATAGCCCCTCCCCCTCTAAAACATAGTCATATTTGTAATAATTGTCCCAAAAAATTGAGTCTGATTTGAATTAAAGAAAGTAATTTTGATAATATTTAATGTTTCTACTAAAAAAAGTGTCACAAACAGGTTGAAAATGTTTAAATTTAGTTGAATCAACAAAAAACTAGAAATGTAGCTGTATTTGATGGTTTTTATTAGTTGTACGGTTGCATCTTACTGAAAGTAAAATATTGTGCCCTTGTCCAACAAGGCTCTTTTTTCGGGCGTAGGGACCATGGATTAAAAAATATAAAAGGAGAGCCCATGAGGAATTTTTTTATATTAAATAAGGCGACAACTTGATAATTATGTCATGTAAACATTTACTACCGAGTATGATTTGTGTTCTTCTTGATCGCCCATTAAACTGCTAATTGACCTTTATACCAATTCCTCTCCTCTTGAGATGCTGCAAACAATATTCTTTATCATGAGAAGGAATTTCCCTAGCCGGGAACCATTAACACCTAGCAGGTCCCGAAATAACAGGAGCAAAATCAGGACTCTGGATCCAAAGCATCTGAATTTTCCAATTCTGCCCCTGCACTGACTTTCTTCCACATCCCCATCCCAGAAATGAAGCAAGGGCCCATAAAAGGTATTATCGGGCAGTACCGGGAACATGTCGCGTGCTCATTTGTAAACTCTGGAGTCCTAAAGACGCTCGTCTCCCTGAGAGACGTAAAGGCTGTTTTCATAGGCCATGATCACACAAACGATTTCTGTGGGAATCTGGAGGGCATATGGTTTTGCTATGGTGGAGGTTTTGGATACCATGGCTATGGTGCTGCTGGGTGGCCAAGGAGAGCAAGAGTCATTCTGGCTGAGCTTGGAAAAGGGGACAAGTCGTGGAATGTGGTTGAGAGAATCAAGACATGGAAACGACTCGATGATGTGAAGCTCAGCAAGATTGACGAGCAAATCCTTTGGCAAAAATAGTACCATTTTTGGGGAAAAGAGGTGTTTCCTGTCATGACCATAGTGAAAAAAGTTGCATGCATGTCCTATGGGTTTGTAAGTTGTAACTTTAATGTTTATGTATATCTTAAAAGAGTGTATTGCTACTATAACTCGACGTTTGATCTCTCTTTGTGTTTCTAGATAAAATAACAATTAAATGATTGTTTTCCTCTTACTTTCCACAAGGCAAAGTGCAAAAAATTGATATTGGGTAGTCTTGGTTTTGAGATAAGAACTCTCGGGTCTATCATTTTCAAAAATATACTTCGGAGTACCTTAGAATATCCGAAAACTAACTCCGGAGTGACTTCCCACCCATCCCTCCGTCATATTCACTTGCTCCGTTATCTTTTTATCATCTTCTTTCCAAAAATGGTTGCTAGGTACCCACATTTTTATAGAACGAACTTTTAGGTCCTATATTTTTTAAGAGTATACCTTGGGCATTTTAAAATATCTAGAGGCTTACTCTGGAGGGATTTTTCTTATATTATTGACTTTATTGTTGTTGTTGTTGTTATTATTGTTGATGTTGTTGTTATATTTTTATTATGATTGTTATTATAAGGAAAACTTATCTTAAATAATCTCACTTTTTCATATTTTTTTCAAAAATAATCTCATTTCTCACTGTCATCGAAAATAATCACTTCTTTCTGCATGTGCAAAAGTTTTGGGTCGCCGTTAAACAACTAACGGCCACTTAAACGAATATTTGGAAAATATTTGCTTTTCGCAAATAAAAGAAAGGTGAGATTATTTCAGACAAATTTAATTTTTTTAATTTTATATTTAAAATTTTGGTTTTCAAAAAATATAATAGTACACTCTTGTTAGATATTTTTCTCAATTTTTCTTAAAAATATTTTCTTCTTTAAGGGAAATATAATATCAGTTTATCGAAAAATATCTCGAGAAAGAAATTGCAATACAGAACATTCTGGTGAGTTATAAAAAATAATTAGTGTCGTTCTGAAGAAAAAAATGTTGTGCCATTTTCACAACTTTTGTAGTGCCATTTTTTAAAAAATAATAATAGTATAGTATCAAAAAAACAATTTGAAATGATGATCAAGAAAAATAATTACCACATACAAAACGTGCAGTAAGTTATGAAGTATATATATTAGCTCCATTGTGTAGAATAATTTATTGTTCAATTATTACCATACTATCAATTATTAAAAAAATAATTAGTTTCACCCTAAAAGACACTAAAATTTGGTACTATTTATAAAAACATTTTTAAAATGTACATTTAAATTTAAAGTTAGAAATTAAAAAATGAAAAAAAGAGAACTTAACTAAAATAATTCAATCTTTCATTTATTTACGAAAAACGGGCCTTTTTTAAAAAAAATTAATGAAAAAAAAGAATAGATGTATTTTTTAGGACAAAGGGACAACAAGCTTACGATCCAATTATAGAGTTTTCACTTGCCCACTCTATTTTCTTTTTTTAAGAATTATGTAACTCGTAAATGTACATAAACTGTTTTTATAATTCATAATGGGTCTTTCACATTTATTTGAGAGATTTTTTCAATAATGTAGCGACTTGATTATTACTCCGTAATTCTTAAAAAATATCTACTTTTTTGTCTTACATAAATTTTTCTTTTGTTGTCAAGGAATCTATCCAGCCAAAAACTCAAACTTGTGGTTGTAGCCTAGGAAATATTTCTTATATTTTAACATGCCCCTCACGTGCAGACGTAGATTTTTCAAGTCTTGCACTTGAAACCTTACTTTTTTTAAAACTGGATGACGCTAAGTTTTGACCCTATGACCTCCATGTCAAAAATCTCATTCAACCAAAAGCTCAAGCTTATGATTGTGACCCATAAAATATTTCTTATATTCTATAATTTGTATTAATAGAGAAAAAATATAAATCATTTAAACTCAGTAATTTATAATGCAAAATTAAAATTGTTACTCCTAGATCATTTTTAATTATTATTTTGATAAATATAATGCGATGTAGAATTGTTTTTTGAGACATCGTTCATTAGTTTATGTCCATTTTTCTTTAGATTAAGATTTATAAAAAAGTATTGCTTCATTTGCACTCTTTTTATATTAAAGGATTACGACATGCATGCAAATTAAGAAATGAAAAAGTATATGATTGACATTGATTTTAAAAAAGAAAAAAGTAAGAGTGAATATGATTTGGAACAGAAATATACTGATATAGAATAATTTACATTTTTTATTAAAATATTTAAATCATTATATATAATAATCATTCCAATATTTTTTATTTTTCTAACTTCTTTCAGTTTTTTCCAATCTCTTTCAGATTTTTTCAACTCTTCTAATTTTTTCCAACGTCTTTCGGTTTTTTTTAACTTTCTCCAGCTTCTTCAAATTCCTTTCTTGTTATTTCAACTCTTTCCTACTTTTTGAACTTCTTCCAATTACTTCTAATTCTTCCAATTTTTCCAATGACTTTCTAATTCTTGAAACTTCTTCTAATTTTTTCTAATGGAAAAATTATCTCAAATAATCCCACCTTTTCGTGTTCTTTCAAAAATAATTTTACCTATCACTGTTAAGAGAAATAATCTCATCTTTCCGCATGTATGCGAGTTTTGGGTCACTGTTAAAAAACTAACGGTGACTTAACAAATTTTTTTAGAAAATGCATGTTTTAGAAAAATTTTTCTCTAAAATGGAACTAAATAATTTATAACTTACTGCAATTTTTTTGTATTACAATTTCTCGAGTACTCGGAATTATTTTTCGATAATCTAATACTCGAGTATTATATTCCTACCGGAACATAAAACAAAACTTGTAAATCAATATATTTTTTTAAAAAAATTGACAGAAATACTCCCTCCGTCCCCAATTTGATTACAAATTGCGGGTTACAGAGTAAAATTTCCTACTTTTTGAAATCATTTTATTTACAAATTGGTATATCAATAAGTTATAAAAATTACATATTAAAAAACTACGTCAAAAGTTCTACAAAATAAGAGGTGACAAGAATATTTTATTTTATCAAATACTTGATGAAATCGCGTAAACAAACAAAAGTTATCGAGAGGAGAGAGAAAAAAAATTGTAATCAAATTGGGGACGGAGGGAGTATCTAATAAGAGTATATTTTTATATTTTTAAAAACATAAATTTTAAAATTAAAAAATTAAAAAAGTAAATTTTTGCTTAAAATAATATCACATTTCATTTATTTGCAGAAACAGACATTTTCAAAAATTTCTGTTAAGTGGCGTTAGTTTTTTACCGTGGTCCATGCGGAAATATAAATTTATTTTCGGTGAGAGTGAAAAGTAGAATTATTTATGAAAAAAATGTAAAAATGTGGGATTATTTAAGATAATTTTTCATTTTCTAAATTACTCTAATTTCTTCGCACATTCAACCATATCTTTTCAACCAACCAAACACATCC